TCTTCTTAGTGTTTAGCTTGTATTTTTTTAATGAATGTGAAGGTAAGTATCTTTTCAAATACTCAAACACCATTTGTATTTCTTTTCCTGTAAGCTGCCTGTAATTTGTCTGTATTTTAGGTTGCTTTTCTTTTTATAATAATTTGTAACAAAGCTTTATATAGTAGAGAAGTTAGCCTTTAGTTTGTCAAATGTGCTATAAATTTTTATTTGTCACACAGACAATCCTATGTTTTTTCATGTAGTAAAATTTGTCCTTCTCTTTCTTTATGTTTTCTGGGTAGCCCTTCCCCATATAAAAATATAAACATCCAGATACGTTTTCTTCTGGCACATTTATAGTTTCATTTTTTATCTTTAAATCTTTCTTCCATATCAATTATTTTGATGTAAAGAGCAAGATCAAAATCCAGTTTTTTCTTAACAACATTTGTCTCACTGTTTTAAATATAATGATAATCTTTCCTTTGGCCCCTAACAAGAACAACTATATTTATCATGTAATAAATTCTCATACATATTTTAGTTCGCTGTTGAACCCTGTCTCCCATTGATCCGCGTATCTATTGTGAAGCAGTATAATACTATTTTAATTGCTTTAGTTTTATATCATATTTTAATAAATGGACAGGGATAATCTCCATTAGACTTCTTGATCACATTTCCCCTGACTACCTTCACATAATTATTCACCCAGATGATGTTTAGATTAGTTTAGTGAAATTACCAAAAAAAATTGTTGGTACTTTTTTTAGAATCACATTCAACTTATAGATAATTAATGACATAATTGACATATTTATATTATTGATTCTTATCTCTTTTATATTTATTTCTAACTTTCTGTCTTGTTCAATTTAGACCCCATGGTCTGGGATTATAATCATTCCCTTGGATACTGGATTAGTTTTCTACTGCTGCTGTAACAAATGACCATAAACTTAGTGACTTAAATAACTCAAATTTATCATATCACAGTTCTGGAGGTTAGGAGTCTGAAATGAGTGTCACTGGGCTAAAATCAAGGTGCCAGTAGGGCTCTGTTCCTTTCTGGAGGCCCTAGGGGAGAATTCATTCCTTTGACTTTTCCAGCTTCTAGAGGCCTCCTGAATTCCTTGGCTCATGGCCCCTTCCTTCATATTCAAAGCCAGTAACTTTGTATCTCTCTGACCATACTTCCATAGTTACACCTCTCCCTGATTACAGCTGGGAAAGTCTCTGCATTTTTAAGTACCCACATGATTAGCTTGGGCCCACCCAGACAATCCAGGAAAATCCCCTATCTCAGGGACCTTAATTGATCACATTTGCAAAGTTCCTTTTGGTGTGTGAGGTAACATAGTCACAGGTTCCAAAGATGAGGTTGTGGTCATCTTTGGGGGCCCATTATTCTGCCTACCACAGATACACTCTCAACTGCCATGTCCCTCTTTACCTTCCTTGAATTCAACTAGAAAATCTAAATCCTAAAGAGAGGAGATTTGGATTAAGCAGGGCTAGGGAATTGAAAGTACAAAATGGTGTATTTTACCTTAATGGTGTTTAGCTGCCAGGATGTTTATTTTGCATTTTAAATTCCCAGCTACTAACCTCAAATAGACTTTTTGGGCTGCCCTGCAATCCTGCAACATTGCTGGTCCCCTAGCTCCCTTCTCTTCCATTCCTCCCCTCTTTCCTCAAACCTCCAGGACCTTTCCCCTGTCCTCACTCCTAGTGGATGAAATTGCTTCTGATTTTGCTAGAAGTGTAGAAGCAATCTGGAGTAAAATTCTACACGCTCTCCTCCCATCTTCTAACTGACTTGCATCTGTGTACATAGAACCGATGCCCACCTGTTATTCTAGCTTGAGAGAAGCTCAAACTCTCTACTTGTACTCTGAATCCCAGACCTGTGGTCCACTTTAGGAAATCACTCCAGTAAGAGTAATCACTTCCCAATCCCCTCACCAATCCTCAATTCTTCCTCCCTATGGTGAACCCCAGCAACTAATGACTATGTTATAATATCATTTATCCGAGCCCAGAAAGCACCAGTCTCACCGAAGGAACGGGTTCTCCAAATAGGTACCCATAAATAAATCTCTATGATCATCCTAAAGTGGCAAAGAATAGAAATGTGAGCTTGAATATGTTTCCATTTTCATAATACCCACTATCTTAGTAGGCTTAATATAATTTCTTCAGGTTTAGGCCCTAGCTGCTGTATTTATTTTCCTGGAAAAATTATTCATGTAGTGAATCTGATCCTGTTCAAACCTCCACTTGAAGGTTTGCATGGGACCAAGTGACCACACTCATACCAAAGCTACTGTCATAGCACTCGCCACTGGCCACACATTCCAAAGATCTCAGCAGATATTCGATGTCTATAATCTTATGCTCAATAGCTTCAGAACCCTTGAGCAATGTCTGGTTTTTTCCACATAGCCACACAATCCCTTCTCTCCTCCATAAGTGAGAAAATTTTCTGTAAATCATTAGTTCCAATTTTGATTAAAAAAAATCAAAACAACAGCTGTAGCTCAGCAATGTCTTCAAACATTTTGATAACGGGAATCTTTCCCTGGATATGTTGGGAACCACACAGTCTCAGAAATAAGCAATGGAGACAGAGCCTCTAGCAGACAAGTTTTATAGAATTGTCTGTTTCATAAATGTTATTTATTTAGTGGACTCTTTAACAAGCAAGGACAAAGAGAAACATCAAAATAACTAGATTTAAAAACAAAGCCACAAAGAATATCTGTTCCCTGATATCTGATAAGCATTCAATCCAGGTTTCAAAAACTTTTCATAGTCATCATTCCCTTTGCTACAAATACTGTTGTTTGCCAACAACATGTCTATTTTTTTTTAAGGAATGAAAATGTTTGTGCTCATTAAAGGCAGACAGGACTCTTGGGCCCCATGTGGGCCACCATGTGAGTTAAGCTGGAGGGGAGGGCAGGCCTCATCTCCATCCTACAGCCAAACAAGACCTGGTGAGGGCCTGTCCTAAGGAGAGGAATGACATGGCCTGACAGTCACAATACTCATTTTTCACAATTGCCCAAGTGATTTTCTGCTTACCTGAGCTGAGGGTCTCTACGTGTGAGATTAACATGAAAAAATATAATAGGGGTGGGGATTTCCTCTTGGGAGGAACTGGCTGTGCTTGTGGGAGTGAGCAGAGTGTGACAAGAAAGCCAGAGGAGCAAGGCCCCCTGGCCTCACCTACCCCTCCCTTCTGAATGCTGTCATGACCTCCCACGGAGGCTCAGATTCCAGCTTAAAGGTAAGACACGGTCCTAAGACTTACCATCCAAAGAAAAACTCTGTGGTCAGTGTTTTTGTGCTACTCTTTCTAGTCAAAGAACCGAGCCTCCTATTGCAGAGGAGAATTGCCCAAGCTTGTATGTGTGGGGAGTGATGAGACGAGTTCTCGAATCCTGGTCTTTAGACCCTGAACCAGCACTCTTTCCATTAGTCATAGCTGAGCCAACAATATAGCATCACTGGCACTGTAGGTGACAGGAGGTGAGTATGTGTGTGTGTGTATGATAAAGTTGCTCTGCCTCGGCACTTGGACACCAGGAGCCTGATATTTCTTGGTGAGGGGGTGGTCCCGTGCACCATAGGGTGCACGCGTTGTTTGCCAACAACGTGTCTATTTTTTTTTTAAGGAATGAAAATGTTTGTGCTCATTAAAGGCAGACAGGACTCTTGGGCCCCATGTCTACACGCTACACACGTGTAGCAGCACGCCTGGCCTCTACCCACTAGATGCCAGGAGCATTCGTCCCCCCAGCTGTGACAACCAAAAGTGTAGCCACACATTGCCAGATGTCCCATGAAGATGGGGAGCAAAATCATCCCTGGCTGAGAACTATGTGTTTACGTGTATAGGTGTATATGCACATGTGTGTCTCTATGTGTGTATATATATATATATATATATATATGAACTCTTTTATGAATAAATATTCATGAAGCATCCCCTCAAAAGAAAACAATGTAGAAGAGAAGTTCTGCAGATCTGAAATCCTCCAAGGCAACCTTCTAGCTTCTAGAAGCTTACTATCCCTCTTCTGCTTTCCTTTAAAGTTTCAGGCACACTGGCCATTGTTGCTTTTTATGGCAGATTTACTCTATTTGTATAACATCATAGTTTATCATTCTGCCTCAAATTGGATTTCTGCTACACACTAATACAAATTATAAAGTGCCTTTAAAGACTAGCAGTCCTCAACTCTTTCGGCACCAGGGACCAGTTTCATGGAAGACAATTTTTCCATGGATGGGGGGCGGGGACGGGCAGGTGGACCTCAGGTGGTAATGCGCAGCCCAGTTCCTAACAGGCCACAGACCGGTACTGGGCTGCGGCCCAGGGATTGGGGACCACAGTTACAGACGACAGTATAACATTCAGAGACAGACTTTTATGGATTAAAGGAACTCAGGTACATGCTTCTCATCTTTACCGGAATCAGGATCTGTGTAAAAACATCGGCCAATCAGCTGTGCACTGGCTCCAGTGCAACACAGAGCACAGCAGCTGAAAACCTGGATGCAAATGAGGTAACTTAGGAAAAATCCCTGATTCTGAGATTACATAAGGTCAAATGACAAGTTTTATAGATCGTTAAGGCTTCTTTTCAAATGGTTATTTTGTAAACAAATTGAGATAGACACAGCTTTTCTTCTGATCCTTTAAGTTGAACTTTCTGAAAGTTCTTTTTAATTCGTTGTTCTAAAGCCAGGGAGACTGTTGAGATACACGTGGCTCTCCTTTTCAATGCCCCAGGTTGACCTCCCTTTAAATAAACATATTAGTTGACATGCAAATTGTCCTGCTTGAACATGTCTTTCAAAAGTGACACTAATGCCAGCCAACGACCAAGAAGCTGTAGTTTCCTTTCCATGTGAATGTGAGGTGTGAGAAGAGTCCAGAGCTTGTGGGTCTGGCAGAGCCCGTGTTTGACTGGCAGCATTCCTCGGCAGACAGGCAGACGAGGACTTACCTTTGGGAATGGTGATCTGACAGCTCAGGTCACAGTCCTGCTGCAACTGATAAAAAGCCACTTCCTGCAGCCGAGCCCTCTCCAGCTCTGAGAGGCTCTGGATGGGGACTGACCTCAGCCGCACGCTGCGGCCCGACATGCTGTTCCAGGTGAAGTCACCCTGCAGGCGGAGGGAAAAACATCAAGAGTTACACAGGTCACCTACCTCCCACAAACATCCTCTTTCTCAGTCAGTAATAGAGCCAAGCAAACTTCACCTTTGTGTTCCAAAATTGGCTCTCAGTTCCCCAAATCGGATCCTCTCTTAGTTTACCGTGGATTTTCTCAGTCAGTCGCAAACGTCAAAATCTCGAGTATCTGCTGGGTCATGTGATTTCATCTCATGATGCACACATAGGCCAAAGAAAACCACGTGGAAAGAAACCACCAGGGTCCTACTTCCTCCCTTTTATGGGAACACATGGGAACTTTTTATTTTTGTATTTCAGTAACAGGAAAAATGTGATGCTAATTGCCATCGTGCACACTAGATATGTGGGGTGGATGCGTACTGAGAGCCTGTCACGTGCCAGCGACTGTGTCAAGAGCTTTTTTTAAAAATGACAAATAATATTTGTACATATTCATGCGGTCCATAGTGATGTATCCATATATATAATGTATGATGATCAGATCGAGGTAATTAGGATATCCATCATCTCAAACATTTATCATTTCTTTGTGTTGGGAACATTCACTATCCTCTTAGCTATTTGAGACTATATCATATATTATTATAGTCAAGGGCTTTTTAGTTAAGGCCTCCAACAACCTTATGAGGTGGTTAACATTTTTGATCTATCTTATGTAATATTTAATAATATAATATTATATAATAATAGAATGATTATAATATATAACAATATAACATAATAGAGCCTATACTTATGATATATTATTATAATATATTCTTATGATACATTATATTAATATCATAGTAATATATAGTATATATAAATGTAATAGTATAATATAGATGATGAAACTGAGGCTTGGGGAGGTTAAGAAATTTTACCCAAATCATAAAGCTTATAAGATTTGGAACCAGGACTCAAGCTAAGAATGTAGTGCTTTAAACTCTATGCTAAAATTGTAACCACTGAGTTTCTATTAATACTACTCTCATGAGATATTTTGAATACTGTATGTACAGAGAGATGATCAATAAGGACTATGTGTACAGTATTTATAGATATTTGATTCTAAAATACTCCATATCAAAGAGTCAAATTAAAGATTCCCACAATCCTAAGAGTGCATTCATGTGCACTTAAGCACACGCCACTGGGCGAATGGCTCCACCCTCAATGCAGACAGTGAGGAAGTGATGGCCTAAGAAACAGTACTTCCCAGTCCTCTGAAACCCAGTGTCTCCTTACTAAAGAGGACTTTCTATGAATCACAGATACTATCCACAGTGCAACAGATTTGAAGAGACAGCTGTTGTTACTGCAATAATCAAGAAAGAATAGTTCCAGAGTCGGGAGAGAAGAGGTGCTGGTCCACACAGGCGCTGCCAGGGACTCATTGCAATGAGCGGAACACTTACGGAATCCCATTAAGACTTCACCATCTTAAATAAGTCACTTACCTTAAAGAAGGGAGACAGAAAAAAATGGCTCCAGCAACTATTAAGATACTTTGTTCCACACTGGTGGCAAATTCCTGCCTAGAGTGTTCATTTCAAATAGTGAATGGTGCTACATTAATTCTTTGATATTGTCTCCTCTTTATCTGGGATTTCATTCATTCATTTAACAAATGGAAATACTATACACTGGTAGGGGCAGAATGAACAAGGTCAATAAAAGGTATAGTGTTAAATAATGACAACTCCTAGGGAGGAGAAAAGAGCAGGGAGGGGGAAGTCGAGGAGAGGGATTTGCAGTTTTAGACAAAGTGGCTGGGAAAGACCTCCCGGAGAAGGCAGCATTTGAGCAAGAGCTAAAGGAAGGGAAGGCTTTTGGTTTATCTCGACACATATGAATTTACGTCTCGAGAAGCCCGGAAGGAGCTCAGGGAAGATGCTGCAGGAAGGGATGTGGGGAGACGAGCGGGTGGGCAAATCTAGTCAAAGTCGGTAGGCTGCAGTCACACTCGGTGAACTGAAGAAAATCCTTCCAGGGCCAGTTTATTTGGAATACTTTTTCTTTCTTTTTTCTTTTTCTGGTGTAACTAGACTAAGCACGAGTTTAAACTATTAGGAGTTGGGAACTCGGGCCTTGGGTGTACCCCTCACACAAACCTCTAGGCTTAGGGTACCACAAGGTACACTATCGGTAAATTGCTCTTTTCCCCCCAGATAGAAAGTCTCAGATGAGTTTGTAACTTTTAGATATGAGGCTTAGGTACTGAAGGGAGCTGACGGCTAAAGGGAATGCTTATACACTGTTGGTGGGAATGTAAATTAGTACAGCCTCCGTGGAAATCAGTGTGAAGATTCCTCAAAGAACTAAAAGTAGACCTACCATTCGATCCAGCAATCCCACTACTAGGTATCTACCTAAAGGAAAAGAAGTCATTTTATTAAAAAGACACCTGCACCCACATATTCATCGCAGCACAATTCACAATTGCAAAGATCCATATGTGAACCAACCTAAGTGCCCACCAGTGGATGATTGGATAAAGCAAATGTGGTATATAAATACCACGGAGTACTACTCAGCCATCAAAAAGAATGAATTAATGCCTTTTTCAGCAACTTGGATGGAACTGGAGAACATTATTTAAAGTGAAGTAAACCAGGAAGAAAAAAACAAATACTGCATGTTCTCACTTATAAGTGGGAGCTAAGCAATGGGTATGCATGGTCATACAGAGTGACTTAATAGACATTGGAGATTCAGAAGGAGGAAGGTTGAAGGGAGGTGTGGGGTGAAAAATTACCTATTGGGCACAATGTACACTATTTAGGTGACAGGTATATTAAAAGCCTAGACTCCTCCACAATGCAATTCACTAGTGTAACAAAAATACACTTGTACCCCTTAAATCTAATTGATTTTTTCATCATACTCTTTTTTTATTCCTTTACAAAATGACATTTTCTTCTTTTACGAATACAATGTCTGTTACATGTAGAAAATTTGGAAAACATGAAAGAAGTATAAAGGAAAAAAATAAAATCAATCTCACAAATTGACTACAGATGTTTCACTGTAGTATATTCTTATAGTCTTCCAGGTAGATATTTACATTTTTAATAAATTGGAATCATACTATATATACAATTTATCACTATTGCAAGGATGTGGAAACAACTCAAGTGCCCATCAATTCATGAGTGCATTATTAAAATTTGGTATATGTATACAATGGAATATTACTCAATTATAAGAAACGACAGTGATCTAGCACCTCTTATACTTTCCTGGATTAAACTTAAGCTCATTATCCAAAGTGAGGTACCACAAGATCGGAACAATGGGCTCCACTTGTACTTGCCATCAAATTGGAACTAACTGATGAACACCAGGGCGCTCACATGGCAGTGATACTCTCCAGGGATTAGGGGGGTGGGGAGGTAAACCCGCTACTAAAAGACACGGGGAGCATTGTAGGGGGGAAGGGCATGCCTCTAACCCCCGCTTGGGTGAGGCAAAGACACAAAGTGTAACCATAATGTTTGTACCCTGACAATGCCCTGAAATAACTGAATTTAAAAAATAGAATTACATACCTATTCTTTAAAAGCATTTAAAAATTTGACCTCCAATGGTCTTAATTATCTATAGCAAGGCTTTGACAATCTTTTTCTGTAAAGGGCCAGATGGTAAATATTCCAGGCTTCATAAGCCATGTGATTTCTGTCACAACTACTCAACAGTGCCTTTGTGGCATGAAGGTATCCACAGATAATTTATAAATAAATGAGTGTGGCCATATTCCAATAAAACTTTATTTACAAAAACAGGTGGCAGGCTGGGTTTCGCTGGTGGGCTGTAGTTTGCCAACCTGTGAACTATAGCTTATGACTGAAATAAACCAATTCCTTGAAGGAACATTTTGTTCTTATTCCCTATGTCCTCCTGGTTAATTAATTCAAACAATATTTAATGAACACCTATTTCATGCTAAGCACTGAAGTAGGCTTGGGATTACTAAGATGACAACACATTTATTGTTTTGGGTCTTTTTGATAAAGGCCAGTCTCACTGGAGATAGGTGATATCTCATTGTGGTTTTGATTTGCATTTCCCTGATGATTAGAGATGTTGAGCATTTTTTCATATGTTTTTCGGCCATTATTCTGTCTTCTTTTGCAAAGTTTCTGTTCATATCCTTTGCCCACTTTTTGATAGGGCTGTTTGATTTTTTCTTGCTGATTTTTCTGAGTTCTAAATAGATTCTGGTTATCAGCCCTCTGTCGGATTTGTAGCACGTGAAAATTTTCTCCCATTCTGTGGGTTGCCTGTTTGCTCTTGTGACCATTTCTTTGGCCGTGTAGAAGCTTTTTAATTTGATCAGGTCCCATTTATTTATTTTGGTTGTTGCTGTGATTGCCTTTGGGGTCTTGGCGTGGATGCAGAGAGGTAGAAACACTCATACACTGCTGGTGGGACTGCAAACTAGTGCAACCTTTGTGGAAAGCAATATGGAGATACCTTAAAGAGATACAAGTAGAACTACCATTTGACCCAGCAATCCCATTACTGGGCATCTATCCAAAAGAACAAAAGTGGCTCTATGAAAAAGACACCTGCACTCGAATGTTCATAGCAGCACAATTCACAATTGCAAAGATGTGGAAACAACCCAAGTGTCCATCAATACATGAGTGGATTAATAAACTGTGGTATATGTATACCATGGAGTACTATTCAGCTTTAAGAAACAATGGTGATATGACACCTCTTGTATACTCCTGGAAACAGCTGGAACGCATTCTACTAAGTGAGGTATCCCAAGAATGGAAAAACAAGCACCACATGTACTCACCATCAAACTGGTATCAGCTGATCAGCATCTAAGTGCACATATAAGAATAACATGTATTGGATGTTGGGCAAGGGGAGGGGGAGGGGGAGGAGGGGACGGGCATATGCACAAATAATGGGTGCGATGCGCACCTCTGGGGGAATGGACACACTTGAAGCCCGGACTTGGGGGGGAGGGA